ACACAGATGGCCTGTGAGCCTGCAGTGTAGACATCAGAGGGAGCACTTACAGAGATGGCCTGTGAGCCTGCAGTGTAGACATCAGAGGGAGACCTGTGTACCCACATCACAGGGAGCACTTCCACTAGATCTGTGAGCCTTGGAGCCATATAAGAATGCTGTCCTTATTCCAAGAGTCACATAAAGCCATCAGAATCCACTTTAAGCAGGGGAAGGTGGGGAATGGCAACCTGTACCTGAAATAACCACTCTGGTAAAAGCAGAAGACACAGGTTAAGGGGAAGGCGGCCATGGAGATGCATGAACAGGAGCCCAGGCTCAGATCGCACTGACAGGTCACCAAGAGAAGAGGTTAGATTCAGGAGTTACTAAAAGGTATCTGTTAATGGAGTTGGTGTTCGCACGCTTGTGAAGGGCTGTCAGGGATAAGAAGTCTGGAGCTTTACAGTAACTTCTAAGATCAGGACCCTTAGGGCAAAGAGGTAAGATCATGATTGTGGACATTTTCTATTTGAGGCGCATCTGAGATGTTTCAGAGAATACAAAAAGAAGGTAGACAGACTAAATACCTTTTCCCACTGGAACAGGAAAAGGCTTAGCAAGTGTGGAATGCCCTGTTGTGTCAGACAGGAAGGAGGTGCTCAAAGAACAGAGGGAGACATGCCAAGAACACACAAGAGACAGTGTCAAAGGGCTCATGCTGGTCAAATTCTCAATATAACAAACTTAAAGAGCAGCACCAGTAACTGACTGTAACAGCTTAAAAAAATAAATTTTTAAAAAAGAATCTATAAACCTATGTTGTTTGTTGTGTACTGTCAAGTCAGAAATGACCCCTAGCTGATCCGCCAGCCAGTTTTCAGAAACGGCAAACTGCATGGGAGGAAACCGTCCACCCTTCTCCTATGAAGCATCTGGTGAATTTGAACTGTGTTATCTCTGGGACTGCAGTGCAATTTCTTACCACTCAGCCACCACACCTTCTATAACTCTAACAGGTATATATTTTTTTTAAATGGAGATGCAAAAGGAAAAAAGGGGATGTTTTTCTTTTTAATAGAACTCCAATTAATAAATGTAGAGCAAATGGCAGAATTTTTAAAAAAAAACTTCTCAGGGAGGAACGCACAGGGAGAAAAGTAAAACAATGAATGAACGGAAATCCTAAGTCTCTGTAAACTTTCATTAAACTTAATAAAAAAAAAATAGAGAAAAAAACACACAAAAAAACCCTTCTCATTTTACAATCACCCATTTAACAAAAGATCCAGGTACTAATTACCTGGGATGCTAGAGTCAGAGTGATCAGAAAAGAGGATGTTCATGCTGAAGAAGTCTCAAAGTCTTCCACAGATGCAAATTTCTAACGAAAAGGTATCCTGGTCCTGGAGAATCTTGCCAAGTGATCAAATCTAGTATCGCCATGAACGCTATGAGCCCCCTAAATACTCATCATAAACTCTAATCTCTGCACGTCTGGTTCTCACCGGCTGTGGGAGAAAGATGGATTTATAGCTTCTGTAAGGAGTTATGGCCTCGGATGGCCTACAGGGCAGTTCCACTTGTCCTTACGGGGACGCTATGACAATACCCACAGGGACGGGTTAGGCCTGCGGTCTGATGCCACTTGGGAACAGACTTGTTTCATTACATTAATGAGACAAGAAGAGTGCAAGGTGTGAATGTGTCTCTTCTGGGACATAAAAAGAGCAAGCAGGCAGGGACGGGAGAAGACAAATGGCATTCATATCAGGATAACCAAGGAACCGAGGCATGCAGGCTGAGGAGACACAGGACCGTCTCCACAGCAGACAGAACGGAGCTTTCCTGGGGAGTCCTGAACTTGGACTTCCACGCTCTGAACTATGAGAAAGGAAACCGGCTTGTTAAAGCCGTTCGCTTGTGGCATGTGTTAGAGCAACGCTAGACAACAGAGACGTCAGAGGCTTTGTGTTATTCTTCTTCTCCTGTGACTGGTTTGTTTCCCCAAAGGCTACACATGTTCATTACAAAAGTCAATCCTAAAATAAATACAGGTTAAAAGGAAAGCATCAGAAAACCTCACACTCATCTAGAGATTACTATTAACAACATCTAAATGTATCTATTACCATGTATCAAACTCAAACCATGTCAGTCACACATTTATTTGAAAAAATGTATTATTATTCCCCCTATGGAGTTTTAAAATCTACTTTAATCATCTCATATATAGTGAATTATCTTTCCATATCACTAGACATATATCTTGGAAGCAGGAGTGGCATCCACTTCCTAAACAACATGCCTCTGGAAATTCCATGAACTTTGAGAAATGACGATAGGTCTAGAAAGGCTTCAGGCCTTTTGTTCATAGGGTCGCTGTGAGTCATGCTCAACGTGACGGTAATCAACAACAAAAACAGACATATATCTGCAATGTTGTTTCGAAAACGACAGAGGTGTCCTTTGCACGGACGATCCTGCTGATTTAACTAATCCTCCTGTGTTCATTATTTGGGTCATTTCTAACTTTCCATCATTACAAAAAGAGCTAAAATGAGTATCATTCAGCTAACTGTTTGAATATGAATAATTCTTTCTTTCCTAAGATGATAAATCCCCAGAAATGGAATTGCTGGCTCAAGCAGCAATCACGTATTTTCAGGGTTTTCTACTAGACTCTTTTATTAATTTCCACTCTGACTAACATGTTGAGTGGACGCACCTTCTGGCAGCCTCACCAATTTAATGCTGTTTAATCTTAGAACTAGTGACTTGTATATACTCGCTGTGTAACCTGACGCAAAAAAAACATAGTTCGCCAGCTGATTTTCCTCATATCTAGCACTTTTTAAGTTAACAATAACCAAAAAGACAGGATAAAAATTGAGGATTCTTTTCATAAATAATTCAAACTAAGAAAAATCACAGCACAAAATAAGCTTCTGTTTACCCTTTAATAACAATAAGGGCACATTCCTGCCACTGAGGAGTGAAAATTTGAAAAGAATTAAGACTGTGGGGTCAGAATGGACCCTCCAGCAGCTTTTCTCAGGCTACTGATCACACAGGAAGAGAATGGCCCTTTCTCTCACAGACCCAGTGCTGAGTAAGAACCAGAGGAGATAGGGGAGCTCTGGTGGCCTAGTGGCAAGGAGCTGCAACTACAATCCCAGAAGCAAACGGTTTGAATCCACCAGATGCTCTTCTGGGGAAGGAGGGTCAATCTCCTCCTGTACCAGTCAGATCTGATTTGACCGTACACGCACACAAAAATAATAAAATTTAAAAAAAAAAAAAAGAACCAGAGGAGATGTTAGCAGGATTACCCTACCACAGCTCCAAGGATGAAGGAGAAATTCTGACGCCGAAGAGCACAGGATTCAGAAACAGGCTGAGTGGTGAATCCTTTCTGCTAAAAAGTAACAGGTGGTCCCGGTGTCCTATGCTTATGCATTCCCGAAAATGCCAAGTGCCTACTTACAACAGAGGCCGGTGCTCTTGTCCGAACTCCGCTTCGTAGTATCCATCCCTGCAGTCTTTTCCAACCAGATCATGAGGATGAGGTTTGTAGGGGTCATTCTTTGTTATTAACGTAATCCTCACTTTTCCTTTTCCGTAATAGTTCATAATCTGAAAAGGGAACAAACAGGTGAGTGACAATACACACAGGAAAACTGGCAAAAGTGGGAGCCTGTGTAATGCAGAACACCTGACAGAGGAGGAATACACAAATATTCTCCACTCAAAGGAGCAGCAGAAAAGTTCCAACACTGGACCCAAGCAAAGGTGGAAAGCTTGAGAAAACCCAGAAAACAAGGCACTCCCATCAAGTTCCAGCTCTCATACATACAAGCACACCCACGTGTATAAACACGCATACACACACACACACACACACACACACACACACAAGCTGTGACGTGTACAGGACACGGTGGGATGAGAGCGAGAGAGTCAACCTTAGAACATTTCACAGAAGGTACCAAATAAGCTGATACGGTAAAAAGTTAAAAATAACCCTTCAAAGACTGGTAGAATGTTTCTTATTCACCTCTCATTAGCATTCCTGACATTTTAACCCTTGGAAAAAAGGGCCTAAGTCCACAGTGCTGCCAAAAATGGGATAAAAATTAAGGATGTGGAATTCAGCACATAACTCTGCCACTGGCATAGTGTGTAATTTAGCAACTGCCTTTATTTTTATTTTTTTTTATTATTCATTTTGATGAAAGTTTACAGAGACTATGGGTTTCCATTCATTCATTGTTGCACTTTTCTCCCTGCCCACCCCTCCTTCCCAGTTTGCTCTTCTCTTTGAAAAGAAAAAAAAAATTCTTTCACTGTTACACAATCCCTACCCCCAGCAACTGCCTTTAAATTTAGTAAAATAACGTTTGTAAACAATCTGCTAATGAAAGACCAATTAAGTTTTGTAGAATCCAGTCTGCCTTCCCCTCCCTCCATATTTTCACCATTTAAAAAGAGACCCAAATATAAACTTGTTGATATAGGTTATATCTACAGTTACAAGTATATTCTTTTTATATTTATATACTATATTTTGTTTGACTATGAATACACCTAGGAACTCAAATACTAATAAGAAATCTTGCCATTAAGGTGTACGCACTGCTGAATGGAACCCCAATTTGCTCTGTACACTTTCACTCAAATCACAGTAATTTAAAAAGTGAGATTCTCACAGGAAAAGCCCCATTACCTGGATGGATGGGTATGTCCGGTTACTGTCAGTGCTGTGTTCCCCTGGAATGCTGCCTGCCGACCGCCCTTCACACTTGTACCGGAATCGCATGCCCCTCTGCCTGGGCTGTTCAATTATCTTTACATAAGGGCTATACCCACCTGAAAAATTAAAAGGAAAAAAGGAGGGCGATGAGATTAGGATAGCAAGAAAAAAAGACTTCAACTGTTTTGTTCTTTTTTCTAAACACCAGACGAAAAGGTTTTCCCTTTCAACATGAAATAACAAGCTTGAAATATGAGTATCCAGGTGGGAGGGTGAGACATTTTCCCCACTAGACGCGAGCTCATGTGGAGGACAAGCACAAGTCACGCATATTGATTAGGTGATAACTTCATTATCAGTAGGTCTCCATCACGATGCCTATGGAAACCTCTGAGAGACCCACTTCAGAGACACCCACTTCCCACATGAGACCAAACAGAAGGGGTTCCCCACGATTCCTCCAGAGGGAAGAGCAGGGCAGTATTCAAAAGCATAATGCTGCAATCCAAAAGTAAGCAAAATGCAATTTGTCTAGATAATTAATTTCACATTAGACTCAACTGTTGTTGTTGTTGTTGTGTACTTCTGAGGCAGAACTGACTCATAGCTGACCCTCCAGCAGGTTTTCAGAGGCAGTTAATCACACGGGAGGAGAATGTTCATCTTCCACTGAGCAGCCCGTAGATTAGAACTGCATGCCTTTGGGTTGGCAGCCCAGCTCCTTAGGACTAAGTCATCAGAGCTCCCTTTACACTCTACAGTGAAGTTAAAAATCGCTCAGAGGAGATGAAATGTATTTCAACATATGTACATGATTTCCAATAAAATCTTTAATGACTTCTAGATCCTTTATCAAAATAAACCCCCGGGGGGGGGGGGGGGGGACACTAAAGAGGGGTTAAACACGTCAGAGGTAAGTCCCACTGGAAGTTTAGGTTCAAGAGAATTTTCAGTCATAGCTGTTTTTCTAAAGTGATACATGACACAATGGAAGGAAAAGAAAATAATTTACTTTTCATAACAGATTTCATCCAAAAGATGTACCTTTAGAAGGAACTATTGATAAAAACAACCTGGATGACTCTCAAAATAACAAAGTGGAGGGAAAGTCAAGTCAACAAGGGCATATACCGCATGCTTCCATTTAAACAGACCTCTCAGAATATGCAAACTAGCCTATAATGAAATAAAGTCCATCAGTGGGCACAGATGGATGGGAAACTCAGGAACAACAGACCCATTCATTATCTTGATGGTGGTGATGATTTCAAAGTTGTATACAAATGTCAAAACTTACCAAATTGTTTCATTCATATGAGTACTTTAATGCACATTAACTAAATCTCAATGAAGTGGTTTAAAGCATAAGCATTTTTTGCCCTCTTTTACCATATTACCCAAATCTATGACTTGCCAGCACTTAACAACCACACCAACAAATCATTAGACATAAAAGCACGAAAGTCCCCTTACAAGGAAGGTAATTAACAATGTGCTTTTCTTTCAGGGTGTAAAGATGTTTTTCCATTAAAACAGACCCACAATTAGGTATCCAGGCCACTGACCAAAGTTTGTCTTGTTAGGATGTTAAAAACCTACAGAAAGGGTAGGCAGCACAGTGGGCCTTATCAGGAAGAGAACCTCTGAATCCCACTCAGCTAATTCTAAGATAAGACACCCTGGAAATGTTACTGCCCAGTAAAATGAGAATCTCAGCCCCTACTTGGTGGCCTAGTAGCAAGAAGCTGCACTGCAATGCTGAAGGCTTGTGGTTCAAGTCCACCAGATGCTCCCTGGCAGAAGGATGGGCAATCTACTCTCACTAGTTCTGAAAACTCATCGGAGGGTCAATTACAGGTCGGTTCTGACTTGATGGCACACAACAACAACAACAACACAAAGATTGCAAACAACTGTGAGGATTAGAGAATCCTTACTAAGTTACATATATAATAACAAATAGTCAATAAAACAATGTCTATGATTTCAAAAGTTGTTGGGTTTGTTTTGTTTTGTTTAAATGACTTAAGGAAGGACCACACGGAATGAGGAAGCAACAGAATACAAATTATGAGAACTACAGAAGGGAGGAAACAGTAACAAAATTCGGAGTAAGAATATTAGCCCCAAAGTGAGGAATGTCTAGGTGGGAGAGAAGTTAATAAAACCAAAGAGTGAGGAAAGAGATGAGGGGCAATGGAGAAATGCAGGGGGGCTGAGGGGAGGGGAACAGTGGTCTCAAGGTACAGCAGTTAGAGGAGAACAGTCTGTTAAAGAACTACTAACATAGTCCCAGTAAAGGTGGTGTAAATGTCCATTCCACAAAGAGACCAACAGCTAGAGCACACTGGGGGTCTGGGCTTCATCTTAGAGGTGAGGGGAAATCAATGAACGTTTTAGGAAGAATCACAGGATGAGAAAGGCATTTTAAAGTAAGAATTCTTGTAAGAGTGGACAGGTTTCAAACAGGAAGCAGGAGACCAGTGGATAGGCTCTTTTAAAAAGGTGGACAATGTCCCTTTTAAACAGTTCTCTCCCTCATCTGTTTGAATGCAGTATACATCATTCCTCCCCTCCTTTTCTGTCTTCCCTCAACCCTGATGTCAGTCCCGTTTTACAACAGTGGCCCTATGCAATATTTGTACTTTTGTGACTGAGCTATTTCACTCAGTGTTGTGTACTCCAGGGTTATCCATTTTGCATAATATTTCATGAGTCCCTTGTTTTTCAATGCTGCATAGTATTCCATGGTGTGAATATACCAGAGCTTCTCTATCCATTTGTTTGTTAATGGGCACTTGGATTGTTTCCAGCTCTTTGCAATTGCAAACAAAGCTGCAATAAACATGGGTGTGCATATATCTGCTTGGGTGGCAGTTATCTTGTCACTACAGAAGTTCAGAGTGAAGGCTGCATAGTGGAGTGGACTTGGGGGGAGGGACTGTTTCTTTTCAAAGAGAAGAGTGAATGGGGGAGGGGGAGTAGGGAGAAAAGTGCAACAATGAATGACTAGAAACCCTGAGTCTTTGTAAACTTTCATTATACATTCGTGAGAATGGGATGATAGGCAGCCTGGCAGTGCAGTGGTTAAAGAATTCAGCTGCTAGCCCAAAGGTCAGCAGTCTGAGTCCACTCCATGGGAACTGGGACCAAGAGTTAGGTGATAAATTGTGTTAGTACCTGGTGGTTGAACTTTAGAATTGTTTATGACTCCAAGGTTTCTACTTTGGATTACACAGTAATGGGATAGTCCATTTACCTTTAGTTTTATTCTGTTTGATCAGGACCCTTATGTTTCAGTCTACTACTTATGTGTTCATTCAAGAAACAAAGGGCCGGATGTATCCATCAGCAGATGACTATGTAAGCAACATAACATTACTCAGCCATAAAGATGAACTTCTGAGGCATGCCACAACACGGGCAAATCTAGAAAACACCGTGCTGAACAAGATAAGTCAGTTGTAAGAGGGCAGACACTATGTGACCTCACTTAGAAGTAAGTGTAATATGTAAAAACCAAAGAAGATGCGTGGTTCAAAGGTGGAGGAAGAGGGAGTTTCTGTTTAGGGGCATGGAGTCACATCGATGATAGCGGAATAATCCGGAAGACGACAGTGACAAAAGCTGCACAGTGCGAAGAGTGTAACCAGTATCACTGAAATGGCCATTAGAAACTGCTGACTTGAGGAAAGGTATTTTCACTATTCTGGGGAGAGAAAAAAATCAAAGGGTAAACTGAGTCTAACCACCCACATTCATAAAACTCCAGTTTTGCTGAGAAACAGGCAAGAATGCAGATGAACAATTTTCACATTCAAATAATTTGTGTCTTTATATATCTTTGCAGGAATATTTAAGAGAAAGTACGTGTTCTCTAAATTGCTGATGAAATCAACACTGACTTCAAAGTTGTATCTTAATTAATCCATGTGGTTGCTTGCCCGAAAGGTCAAGCAAATCCCTGCCAACCACTTATTTAAAAGTGTCTTGGTGGGAAATTGACACTGAGTGACATCACTACTGGTAAATGGCTGATGTAGGGGGGATGGTAATGTGACTAAAAGTGCTAGGCTCACAGTGAGCGTTCAATTATTGCACTGGTCACACATCTTACTTCAAACGAGATAATGTACTTTTATAAAAAAAAAAAGGCCAGGGACAAAAAAAAAAAGGACAGAAAAGCTGCTGCTGAAAAGATTATTTTTTTTAAAATACTATTTTTTAAAAATATTTTGTTTTTTAATTATTCATTTTAATGAAAATTTACAGGGACTTTGGATTTCCATTCATTCATTGTTGCACTTTTCTCCCTGCCCACCCCTCCCCCCAAAAAGATTCTTTTTAAAAAATATTTTAAGTTGTAAAAACAAACATTTTTACATGAATATTACTTATCACATAACAGGAAGAAGAACAATAAAAAAAATCCTGCCATCCATTCTACCTCCTGGAGAAGTTCTTCATTGGTAAAAAGTCTCACTATCAAGTATGAGAGGTGATTTAACAGTCCACTTTCCCCAGGTTGGAACTAATCCCTCCCTCCTCAAAACGTCCATTCTGTTTAATGATAATTATTTCAAATAACGACACCTAAGAGGAGATGGCTTTAGTTCTCCTTGCAATAAAACGATCTCATTTCTTTCTTTACTACTTGAAGGTCAGGACTGTGTCTTAGTCATTAGCACCTTGTATCTGTTGACTGAGTGTTGGAAATGCTCAAGTTAGATGTTTCTGTTTATGTACATTATTCAAAGGTTACAGGGACTATGTTAATGATTAATCAGACTTTCCTTATTTGATTTCACTCCTATGGAAACAAAGATAAGCACTCTGTCAGTACTGAGCTGCACCAGCATTGCACTTTCATACTTTCTCACAGTCATTCAGACCACTGTTGCTTTTATCTCTACTGATGATTTTTAAAAGCGTTCCAGCTGCAATGTCTGCATCATCAGTGTAATATACTAGTTACTTCCTTCTTTAGTGCTCTCTATTGAAGGACCATGCTTCCTGAAGAAAGGAAGAGATGAAACATATTTATCTATGAAACAATGCAAAACATAAATCAGGAAGTTGTGGGAAAAAAAGTAATAACACATTTAACTAGGATTAT